GATTTTTTGAGGATTAAAAAAATGAACTTAAAAAAAAATTATTTTGTGAATTGCCTTCCAATTAAGGTCTTATATTTTATCTTAATTATGGAACTTATGGGTTATGATAGCCTTTTTTAAAATTTAGCACCTTGAAAGCTTTCACCTTGCCGGAACTCTGCCACATGGGCTCACCCTTTGGCAGTTGGGTGAGGGCAAGCTAAGTACATGCTGGATAATTTAGTATATTAATTTTGCTTGATTTAAATTATTAATAATGCAAAATTACTAATTTGAACATAATTCAACTAGTTAAAATATATATATTGAGAAAAAGTTCAAGTCCTTATCTCCCATGTTGAGCTTTCAAAAAAATTACAAATTGTACATGTTATATTCACCTCATGTGACTTCTCGTTAAAATCCTCTGGAAGTCGTTGAATCTTTTTTACTCATTCATGAAGCTCTTCCATTATTTTCTTCTATCACTTTGTTGTTCATTTGGAATCTACCTCTCCACAGTCATTTTATTTTAAAATTTTTCTCATTTATGAAATACTCATGCACATGTTTTTAAAAAGAAAGTCCTCCTGCCGTATAAACGTAGAAGCGTGCAATATGGATTTCATTAAATCAAATCCAAACCAAACTAGCTTCATTAATTTCACAATTTCTCACATAGACAACCTTACATCCTCTCGCTCAAAACATGTCCCACCTCTTATGAATTTGAGTTATAAAACTCTATTAATAGTGGTATTTTTTTTTTTAATCTCTGGGTGTAGCATTTTAAAGTACATTAGTTAAAAGTAAAAAAGAAAAGCAAAATGGCCATCTTCAAAAACTATTTGAAGCCTTGTGCAAGATGTATATTCTCCCCCGTCATCGTTTGAAATGATATTTCACCTCATAGATAGTGGGATCACAAGTAAACGACACAACAAAACTAACCTCGAAAACACTCTTGTTTTCCATGAGTCAATCTCATATCGCTGTATTTCTTCTCCTCCTCCACTTGCCCTTTGGTACTGTCATCCATATCCATTCATGCACCTTCCTTCGTAGCTTTATCAGGGACCACCACTCCTTCAAGATGGACAATTCTCTCTCTCTCTCTCTCTGTAAGTTGCTTTCATTCTTTTGTTTTGAGGGACAGGACAGGGCAGCTGCGAGAGTGAAGGACAGAGAAATTCTGAGCCAATAGAGGTCGACTCAACTTGATCACTTTATTGTGTATATAAGGACAAGCGCAGCCTCTTTTTTGTCTGTTTCCTCATTAAAATGATTGCTGGGTGACAGACAGGTTAATAAGTTTTTATGACATTAAACGTCATAATTCAGATATTTTGCTTGAAAATTTTCAAATCTCTTGACAACATCTACTTGTTTATGGACTAAAAAGATACCGACAGTTCTGGAATTTTCTGTTCCCCTACTATATTTTTTAAGAGTGTATTTTTTCTTTTTCTAGAAAAGAAAAAGTCACTCTCCTCTCCCATCTATTAGATTTAGATTTTAATACTATCTTAATAGTGTACAGTGGAGAATTATTGATGTGAAAACTCTAGTGAATTGAAATTAAAAATTCATTTGGGCATGTGAACCCTAATTCACAAATACTAAAATCTTCAAATCGTTTGATTACAATCCTAAGGTTTAGGTTAGAGATGAATTGCTTGAAGATCAGTGTTCTCAAGACGAAGAACACATTCGTTAACCCAAGAGTCGAACACTCCACAAGATAGGATGATAAATCCTACTTGAATGTTCTTTGTATGCAGCTCGAAGAAACATGAATTACAAAAGGATTCAAGGAGCTCTAGGCCAAAACTTGAAAGAAAAACTCGAATGCTAAATTAATTCATCAAAACTGATATATCAAGACTTTAGATAGGCTCTGAACTAAATCCTAGATGCCACATCATTAACAATATCAAAAAGACAAAAATACTCCATAATATGTCAAAAAAGAGTAAAATTGGAAAATAATAAAATTACATTAAGAAAAAGTTATTTAATAAAAATGAAGGCGGTTCATATCAAGTATTGTCTAAGATATAAATACGTATATATATATTTTGAGTAAAAAAGATACTAGTTATTGCGGGGGACATTGTATTTTAATATTAAGACACTAATCTAATGTCCTGTCTACTAATGTGATGGAGGACGGCATGCTCTATTGCTTCTTACCAACTAGAGAAAACTACCGTTGTTTGATTTAGACCATTTTGATTTTCAGGTGCTGAACGAGAAGGGTGTTGGAAAATTGTTCTCAAACAAAATTCTGTTTTTTAGATAATGGTGGTCTACGATAGAGCTTTATTGCCTCTTTCTGGTTCATTTTAGGTTTTGAGTTTCATTTTGATTTGGTTGTTAGGTTCCAAACTTATACCTTCTTTTTTGTCCTTGAAGTTAGTCTTTTGTTTTTAACTTTTTAACAAACAAAAAATGTGGCAAAAATTTATAAATCTTTTGAAAGAAAATAATTAAAGATTTTACTTCCATCCTCTCTCCCTCCCACACCATCTCTAGTGTACTGCCTCTCCCCAACCTCCACCGTTGCTTGTCTCCCCCACCTCCAATGCGGATGAAGCCCTCTTACGGGGGAGAGAAAGGGAGGAGGGCATGGAGGTGGAGAGTCGACACGATAAGAGGGTGATAGAGGCGAGGACATGGAGGTGGAGAGTTACAATAAGAGGGTGGCAGAGGAAGGGAGACGACGTCGTAGCCAGACATGAGGAAGGGGGTGGGGGGCAGCAATAGGGTTAGTGCCAGATGGGTGGCGAGGATGGAGATAGGGAGAGAGACTATTTTTTAATAATTATAAAATTTTGTCGATCCCAAGAGCAGTACTATTGGTAAAAACTGGAGTTTCTTAGTCATACTGGCTTAGAGTTTTCAAATTCGAACATTCTGGTGAGTTTAATTTAAAAGCTTTTGATATCTTTTGAGTCTGGACTTGGGCGAGTATTAAAATTTCAGTGGTGAAAGTGTGTATGATTTGAAAACTTAGAATGAAATAGAAATGAAACTCAAAATATCCAGAGAAAAAAAAGAATATTATATTATATATATATATATTATAATACGTTCCAAATATTAACAATACTTTTCATCTAATATGGTTCGCAATTGAGTTTTATTAGATTGAGTAATTAGAGTAAATGGATAGATATTGACTATTCTAGAGAAAAATCAAATTTTTTTTCTTTTTATTTTTTAGTACAATAGAGGAAAGTTTGAAGTCAAATTTTAGTAAGAAATTGAGGAGATTACGAGTTTATAACTGGAAAAATAATTTTCTCACACTTAGATCTTTTAACTATAATCCAAAATCCAAAAGTAGAATTATGAGGTGTTTGTCTCAAATAAAATATAACACTTGATAATGTTTAAAACCTTAAAGCTCTATTTAATTTGTGTTATGATTATTACTTTTTAATTTTGGTCATAAATTTGACAATGAAGCAAAAACTCTATATTTACACTAAAAAAAGGTAACAAAATTTAATATTACACTTTTTTTTAGTACATTATTAACCAATAATCAAAAGAGTTTACATTATTAATTTCTATTATTTTGCATTCACTTCTCATTCAATGCTATGAGTGACTTGGGAATATTCCTCCACTTCCCCCTTCTCCTCTTCGGGTCGGTCGCCGGCGGCGAGTCGGGTTCGCCGGCCTCCAACGGAAAATTCAATATCGCTTTTCTCCCTCTCAGCCTAAACGCCGCACAATCATAGGCCTTGGCGGCGTCCACATCGTTGTCAAAAGTCCCCAGCCAGACCCGGCTCCCCTTCCGGGTCGGGTCACGGATCTCCGCCGCAAACTTCCCCCACGGCCGCCGCCGCACTCCCCTGTAATGCCTCCTCCCCTTGGCCTCCCCTGCCGCGGCGGCTTCGGTCTCAGTAACTTCGCCGGATTTCAGCTCGCCGTCGGGCGGCGGCGCGTGGCAATTGGGGTCCGGAATTTGAGGGCTGATCAAGTCGGAATCGAAGAAGAAATCTTCCAATTTGATGATGGGTTGGAGAAGGGAGGAATCTGATGGGAAATGGGTTTGATCTGCGAAGTCTCCCAAGAGAAATTGGGTGATGAATTCCATGGTTAAGAATTCTTCGGAGGACGCCATTTTCAGAGAGAAACTGAAGAATTTAATGGGTTTATGAAGATGTGAAGAGAAGAAGAAAGCATATATTTATAATTTATATACACAAATTTCCAACTGTATTTTAAATCAACAATAAAACTAAAACGTTGGATTCTGATCCAATCCACTCGAAATAAATTCTTTTCTAAAAGATAATTATGGAAATAACAATTCTTTAGGAAAAAAAAATTGAAATATCTCAAAAGGCAGAATGCGACATCTTTTGAGGGTGTGAGGACTGAACCACCGACCTCTAATAAAATTGTAAAATATCTTAATCACTCAGATAAGTTTAGGACAGCTAGAATGCAATCAATAATCTTAAAATCATCCATTTAAGTGAATTATTAACTGCACAAATAAGTTAGAAGTAGTGATTCACATTATCAAGTTAGTTTAGCCAAGAAAAAAAGAGCAATTATTGCTCTTAACTTGGTGGGAGTGAAACAGTTTTCCTAATAAACTTTTAATTTTGTCAAATTAAACTCTAGGCTTATATTCAACTTCAGTTAAATTACGTGTTAATTTTAACCAATGACAAAGTAATAAGTCTCTTCAAACTTACCCATTTAATTGAATATTAAGGCCGACATTGGATAAAATTGCTACATTTATTCGAATTTAAAGTAATAGTTGCAACGTTTATCTAAATATAAGGCCCCAACTCAATGAAATTGATATACTCCGGTAAAAGTTGAGTACTTTTCCACTAATTTATTAACAAAAAATTTAAAAATGTTTTATACTTCACATATATATTTTTATAAAAATATATATTTGCAAATATTATAGAAAAATTGAACCAATCAAACTTCTCATATTATCCTCAAAATTAAAAAGTGAAAACCTGTTCTTATTAATTAATAAATTCAAACCAATAAAAACGAAGTCATATGTTAGCCATGACTTTTGTTCAGTGATAAGGATGGCTGCAAATGCTTTAAGTGGATGTTAAATTTGGATCGAAATGTGAACATTTTTATTAACATTTTCATATGTTTGATATTGACGAGGAATGAATCAATATTGTCATTGTATCGTACAAAATCAACGAATTATTAGAAAATATAAATAAAATAAATTACTCATAATATTAATAATAACACTTTAAAACTTATTTAAAAAAATAAAAAATATTTATTTGTTAATTTATTTACTCTTAAAGCTTTATAAATTTTTCAAAAATATATATCGATATCGATATTGACATTGACATCTAATCAATATTTTCATAAAAATAAGACATCGACATCAAATTTTAAAAACTTAGATTAAATTTTTACTGACATGTGGACATTTCTATCAATATTTTCATATGTTCATAGGTCGACATTGACATAAGAGATGAATCAATATTTCCATTGTGTCGTAAAAAAATCGATAAAATATTAGAAAATATCAACCAAATATATCACACATAATATTAAAATTAACAATTTTATAGTTATTTAAAAAAACTTAAAAAGTTATTTGTTAATTTATTTATTTCATAATTTTTATATTTTTTCTAAAAATATTCATCGATATCGACATCGACATTTTAGGGATATTTTCACAAATAAGACATCGATGTCAAATATTTAAAAGTTTGGATTTAAAAGAGGATATAATTCATGGACGATTCTATCGATAATAAAATTGAAATATATATAGATTATTTTTTTTTTAATTTGGTTTATGTTTTTTTTTTCCAGGGAAAGAGGTCGGCAAGAACAAGAAGGTGGCCGCAGACACATATTTGGCAATGTTCTACCACCTTCCTTAGCTTTAAATTAGGTCCATTGAATTTGGGATTTTTGCAGTTTTAATTATGTTTTGATGATTATATTTTTGTTCGACAACCATTTTGACTTTAGTTTTTTTGGTTTAAAAATAATCTTTGCTTTCTTACCATATATTTTTTAGGATGTTTTTCACATTCTTTATAAAGATATTTAAATTCTTAGCTAAAAAAGACTTTTTTTAATAGAATATTAAAAATAAAATGATTATTCATATATATTTTATTTATGTGGGAGTCATACTTTGAACCTCGACTTATATTTTTTAACCAGTTGAGTTATATTTAACTTGGCGACATGAAGACGATACTAGAAAGAAGAAGATAATAGTATCAATATATTGTACCTCACTTACATTGGAATTTTGAAAATAGAGGACCAGAGTTGTTAGACAAATTAATTGAAATATGTATTTTTTTAGTACAATAAATATGGGATGAAGTGTAACCTCCATATTTTTTATGTCTCATTTTTTTTGTTCTTTTAGAAACGGTGTGTTTAATAATTAGTCATTTTTCATTTTCAAGAAATGTTTCCAAAATTGTATAGAAAATTTTTAGAAACAACAAAATCAAGTTTTTGTTTCTAGATGCCATGTTTTCATCAAATTTTGTTTTTAAAACATAGATAAGAACACTATTTTATTATAAATATATAATAAATATTCAAAATTAAATACAACGTAAAAAAATGTGTAGTTTAATTTTAAAAAAGTAATTAATTTTTTTCTTTAATTAATTTAAAAGTTCAAAAATGAAAAAGCAGAAATGGTTAAATTTTTGGTTCAAATAAAAAAGAAAGAATAATAACAAGTACATAATGGAGTTCTCTTTTTAAGAAAATGAGAAACATGAAACATAAAACAGTTCGAAATATCCACGTTGTTCATCTATTTTATTAGATGAGGATTTTGTTTATGGGGCTCATTTTTTTTTTGGGAATATTAATAACAATAAAAATATTTTTTTACGAAAATAAATGCTTGATCATTTTTAATATTTTATATTAAAATGAGTGAAGTGCTCGTTTCTTATTTTAAATATTTTTATTTTTATAATTTTCTTTTAGAAATATCCATCGACATCGACATTTTATTGATAATATCATCAGCATTTTCATAAGACTGAAATCTCGATATTTTCATCTACATCGACATTTAAAACCTTGACTAAAACTAAATTGGCACAAACGAATGACTCTAGTTCGATTGCATAAAAAAGTATCATTAGATAGCGATGAGTGATAACATATTTAGAGGCTCTCCCACCTTATCTTTTAAGGTAGTTTTGCATTTGTGGTATGAGAGTGATGTAAAGTGCTCAAAGACATTGGACATCCAAGAGATTACCATTTTATCAAGTTGTTTACTTTCTAGGGACCATATGAGTTCTTTTTTCAGCTTATTTATATCATAAATCAAAATAAATTTAATTTTGTTGTGTTTTAAATTTTGTCTAAGAAAGAGATTCCATAAAGATAATAAATTTTTTAAAAATAAGTTGGTTTTGCAACTATTTCATTTTTTATTTTGTTTTTAAAAATTAAACTTAGGATATTACTCTCACATTCGGTGTTCTTTTGTTTGTTATATAGTTTTTATGGAAAAAAAAAACATTTTAAAAATTTGTTTTTGTTTTTGAAATTTAATTTAGAATTCAAATTTATTTTAAAAATAGGTAAAAATCTTACTAAGAAAATGGTATAAGAACAAGCACATATACATTTTTTTAACGGGGTTGAGAGGATTTGAACTCACGATCTTCTGAACTGACATAAATGTCTTAACCTGTTGAACTACGTTGGCAAAAATAAAAATAATTTTAAAAAATATAAACTAAAAACAAAAATATTGAAATTGATTGCAATAATTGAATTGTAAAATTGAGGGGCATCTCTGTCTCGTTGCCGTCCTCCAACGGGGAGGCCCAGTGTTACGTATTGCTGACGTATTCAAATTGCGTCATCCACATTTCATTTTCATACATTAAATTATTGCATTGATAATGCTTGAAAAATTTCACGCGTAAAATTAATACGTATTTTTTAGAAAATAATCGCTAACTATTTTTCTTTTCCTCACTTTTTTGTGTGTTTTATATTATATTTGAACTTGAGTGGATTTTTATTAGATTATTTGGGTAAAAGAACGTACTTGGTTTATGCTAAAAAAAAAAAAGAATCGAATGAGATCTAACCTAGTCAAAGTCGAACACGTAGAACAGCTGACTCGTTTCGTTGGGATGACTTGTACAAGAGGGGCAAACTCTCGGACAATCAAATCAGTAATCAGCTTGGACTCAATATTAAGAAGAGCTCATTTGTCTCGTTGGGATGACCTGCATTCGAATGTGATACCTATGTAGAGGTGATGCCTCTCTATTTATAGGTTGGGGTTTCAACAGCCCTTCCGACAGATAATTATCAGTGTCAGAGGTCATGTCGGACATGTGGGGGATTGAACTTACAATCTTTTGGTACACCAATTATCGTTGAACTATGCTCGCTTTCTAGTGTATATCTATTAATTAGTATGTTAATTATCTGTTTTTACCATTAAATACAGTTTCGACCAAAATTTATATTTAAATAAGCATGCCATGCTATTATTCTATTAATGATGTAATGACATATATGCTAAATAAAAATAGTTAATATAGGTCAATTTAAAATAATTTAGAGAGATTAAGGGTCCTTCRAATAGGGATAACATCACCTTTAGAAAAAAAGTATATTAATGTGACTGTCTGCTATTTTAATTAGAGATATTATATAGATTCTATAGTATATATTATAAAAAAAACTTTTACTTTATATGTCATATATAAAATGACATACTTCAACTTTTCAAAAAAGAAAAAGAAATGACATACTTCAATTATTTACGTTATAGTTAAATATATAATGTATAATTACAAAATAAACTTTAGAGGATCCATATGGAATTAAAGTATTTATGGAACTAAAATAAAATAATGATCAATGTTCTGATAATTTTTTTTTCCTTTATACGATAAATAATTAAATACTGACCAAAAAAAACATGGTAATTAATATATATATCCRGTTAAAGGGCTTTGAATTAGATCTCCACTCCCACTTGTATTTGGAAAAAATAATTAAATACTAAAAAATAAAGTTACATCGACTTTTATTTCGGTTATTTACTTTATATCATTATTATATACCAAAGGATAAATGTTTCTACATTATCATATACTTTGTATCATTATTATTTGTATTACATTTTTCCACCACTCGTATTATTTGCATTAAACTAGCTGACCAATAGCTGCTCGCCAACTGGCAACATAGCCATTTGGGAGTCTCTCACCGGCTTGGCTTCCTTGTTAGCCGTGGCTTTTCTCCTCTTAGCCGAGGCGTTAGCCAAACCTTGAGTGGTAATAATTAGGTCATGTTGTCGGCGTCGAGCCGAGACTCTATGTGGCGGCGGGTCACCGGAGCCAATGCGGTTTGGAAAATTAAGCAAGGCCTTAGAGCCGCGCATTTGGAAAGCGGCGCGGTCGTAAGCCAACGCCGCATCCTCAGCCGTCTCGTACGTGCCGAGCCACACACGTGCGCCACTCTTGGCCGGGTCTCGAATCTCCGCCGCATACTTCCCCCAGGGTCGGCGTCGGACCCCTCGGTAGTGCTGCCCTCGGCAGCCCAAGGGCGGCGACAAAGCCTTGGTTGGTGCAGAGAAGCCGGGGTCGGGTTTAACGGTCGGGAGCTGGGCGGCGGCGGAGGAGGAATGGAGTGGGGAAAGGCCAAAAACGACGGCGTCGTGGAGGGAGTTGAAGACAATCATGTCGTTGAGTTTGAGGGGGAAATCGGGCCATTGATCTGTTAAGGAAGAGATGATGAGGTCGGAGGAGTCGTAGGTTAATGATGCTCTGTTTTCTACATCCATTTCTTCACAGAGAGAGAGAGATTTTAGATATAATGGGAGATCAGAGGATAACACAAGGGTATAAAAGTCTTATACCTATATCATATATTTATAGCAAAATTTCCATTCTTTTGTGTGGGAGAGAGGGGATAAAAGTCTTATAGCTATATCCTATATTTAACCCAACCCAACATGATGGGTAAACATTTGAATCCACGATCTTTTAGTAAGGATATATATATATTTTGACGAATTAAATTATACTTCAGTTCACATGTATTTTTTGTTTCTTGTACATTAATTTAGTAGTTAAAGACATTTAATATATATTTTTCTATTTCTAAAGAGTTATAGGTTCGAATTCTTATTTGATGATGTTTTTTTTCTAAAATAACAAAAATATTATTGATTTAATAATTTTCATCAATAAAACATTTCTTTAATACCATATTTATTTGATAATTTATTAACTTATTGGATAGCATCCAACAAGTATTGCAACCTTATCTAATAATTTAATAAAATGACTAAATAATTGATTGAAATTATATTTAATATATATATATATATATATATAAAAGAAACAAAACTATTGCTATCTTAATAATTGTAGTATTAAATTAAATTATTTCTTATATTTTTTGTTATTAAGTTTTGAAAAGACCCATTTTTGTCTGTTAGGAAACATGGTGACGGAGAACCCCCTCTCCCTAACTTCATCAATTGTTGATATACCTTCCACCTAAAAAAATTTAAGAGGGTAGAGTTGGTTAGGTGGAAAAAAATATGTAATTCAGGACCCGTAGATTTGGTAACATTTTCGTTTTTGTTTCTCATTTCCAATTTTATTGAGAAATCTATGTATTTTACAATTATATATACTTCTTATTTCTCATTTTTTAAAAACATTCTTAAAATTGTATAGAAATTTTGGAAATAACATAAATAAGTTTTTTATTTCTTGTTCTTGTTTAAAATTTGTTCCAACATAAATAAAGATTTTACTTTTATCATCCTTGAATATGTGAGTCTTGAAGTCATGTCATTCTATTTTCTTTATTAAAAAAAAGAAGAAACATTAATAAAAAATAAGAATATTGAGTCCTTAATGTCATAGGTGGACAGCTCAATTTCCCCTCTATTAGTAAAAAATTTGACTATTTCACCTAAGGAGCTTCATTCAAATGAATATTAACATTAATTAATTTACAACACTTTATTGATAATTTTACAATATTTTATGGCTTCACAAATTGAACAACTAATTAATTAAAAGGATGACCACTTTTAGCGCAGTAGTAACCACTTTGACCTAATTGTCCTTTCATACCAACTCAATGCGTTGACATTAATTAGATTCCATTCAAGAAAAAGAAAAAATTCTAATCAAATTATTACTTTGAGTAAATAATTAAAAAAATAGGCAAAAAATATCTGTACAGTTCATGGATTTAATTTTTATGGGTATTGATTCTTTCTGATGTATTTTAAGTAATATTTAGATATTTTGTTTCCAAACAGTGCTTTTCTACTTCGCTTGATTTGGAAGGATAGGTTCGGAAATTTGTTTAGTTGGATTAGGGTATTTTTGTAACTTAGAACAATATTTTCTTTTTTTTTAAGTACATAATGTAGGATGGGGGATTTGAACTCTCAACATCATAGGATACATGTGTGGCAGAACATAGCTTTTAGTTCGCGATGTTTAAGTGTTTGTTGGTTTTAGTTGGTCTAATAATTTATTGATTGGTTAATTTTGAGAAACTATTTCAATTTATAATTTTCTGATTTTCACTCCAAATTATGTACATAATATAACCAAATTTTTGTCAATTCGAACTTAGTTCATTGGATAAGGTACCAATTATCTTAATTATTTGAGGTCGAAGGATAAATCTTCGCCCCACAATATTGAACTAAAAAAAAGAAAAAGTGCAGTTTTAACTTTAACGTAATTTGAAGTAACCAATTAGGCTTTTATATGATGAAACCTAGAAATCAATCACCGATCCAATTTATGTACCTATGCAAGATATACCTTAACAGAAATTAAAAGAGTAACGATGGAAGCAAGTAATTGAGTTCAATAATTCTTGATATAAGATTATGGAGAAGACTAGTATATGAGAAGACGTTTATTATTTCCCAAGAGTAACAGAGTTGGTACCTATTTTCACCGACCCTTCTTATGATAACCTATAAGTAAATGACGTTAATTTGAACATATCTTCGTTGATTTCAAAGTATGCAATATGTTAGTAAAACTATAAAGTACAATTAAAAGTAAAAAAGAAAGGAAAAACCAATCAATGTGAAAAGAATTAACCTTTGAAATTTTATGAGTATGTTTCTCCTTAATTTCAATTCAATGATTTGTAAGTACTTTAAATTTCAAATTCTTTTACCAATATTTGACTTGTAGTACAATAATTAATTTATCTCAAATACCAACTATTTAGCAAAATTGTGGGTTCTTTCTCCCTTCTTATTTTAGGTATGGTTAGTGAGGGGTGGTATTGCAATTCCACAAACTAATATAAGTTTTATGATAGTATTGTAGAAAACTCTTATTTTTAAAAGACGATCTAATATAAAATACAGACAAAGAAATAACTAATTTCGTTAATATATTGTACTAAAATTATCTTTAGACCTAAAAATTTAAGTCGTTGAGTTAGAATAAGTTCAATTTTTTTTTTAAATACATTCTCAACGTTATTTGAATATATAAATTGTGGTGCATTACATTTCTTATTTTAAGATGGAAAAAATAACAAAATGAAAGAAAAATGGTTAAAATCATCTCTTTGAGAGATCAAGTTTTAAGAACTATCAATAGTTTTAAAGTTTTCAAACTATTGCCATTGTAATAATATAAAGACTAACATATATCCTTTTAACTTTACAGTCCACTTTTAAAAATGTTTCCAAATTGAAAAATTTTAAAAGGTAGTTTGTAGTTGGGTTTCTTTTAAGTTTTTATAAATTTAGGCAAAATTTTAAAAAGTCTAAATTAAGACTTTGTTTGCAACTTTTTTTTTTTTCTATTTAAAAACTTTAAGTGTGTGAAAACTATTTTTCTTTCCTTTGAATTGCATTTCACTTTTAAAAAATACTTGAACTTTTATCCCAACTATATTTTTTTAATTTAAAAAGTTTGACTAGGATTTGAAAAGTAATTAATAAACAAAAAGCAATGTTGGTAAATAAACATGATTTTTTTCAAAAACAAAACATTAATTATTAAACGGCCCATAAACAAATAAATTATTAGAAACAAAGTCTAATTTAAAAAAAAAAAAAACAAAAAACAAAAGAACTCTGAGTAAATATATGACACTTTGGAAAGGCTTGTTATTTATTTATTTATTTTTATTTTTATTTTTAATATTTGCAAAGGAATAGGCTGAAATATTGTCGCACTTATTCTTATCTTAGATTCATTAAATTTCTAAAGAGGTAGAGTGGAGTGCAAGAAAAGAGGCCTTTGCTTCAAAAGTCCCTTTGAGAACCTCTGTTCTATGGTTTTTATTTTTATTATTTTTTATTTTTGTCATTCAAAAGAAGAAAAGAATCATTCATTTCAACTTACCTTTCTTGTTTTAAGTTTTGTCCTACTATATAAAGAAGGAATAGAAGTTCCATGCTCATAACAAAAAGAAAGATTTAAGCGTTCAAACATGACAATCATGGATGATAGAATGTCGTATGTCGATCCTATAAAAGATCAACAACATGGTACGGTATTGTATTTAGAACTATTAATAATAATGTTTTAGTCTAAATTTCATTTTGGTTAATTCCAGAACTTTCATACTTATTGTATTTTGGTTTTTTAGAAAATAATTTTGCATATTGAGATCAACATGTATATGAAAGTTAGAAAAAAGAGGGCTAAGCCTAATGTTTTTGTTAAACACAATAAAAATTTAAAGGACAACGACATGGTAGAAACGTATTAGAGTAGTAAAAGTAAGTATTAATTGGTATATATCTCCAACTATAAAATCGTGAGTTCCATCCCGACCACTTCATAGGATTTAAGTCAGAAATCTTTATGATGGAAAAATATTTGTCCTTCCAATTATTCGAGAGTTACGATTTTGGGTTACTAATATTTGTTGGTTTTTTTTTAATTTAATATTATTTTTTTTTTACAGAAATTATACGATCAACAAGGATTGAGCCACCAACTCATTATACATTCAAAATTAATTCTTACTCAGTACTTTCAAAAATAGGGATGGAGAAATGTGAATCTGGAGACTTTGAAGTTGATGGCTATAAGTGGTAATTTGAAATCCTAATTAACATACATTTAAATTGCAACAATAATTAATATCATAAATACGATAATATTTCTACTTTATGGTTTTTCGTTTTAAAAACAAAATTGTGTTTCGTAACTATTTTTGTTTGTTGTTTCTTATTCTCTAAAATTTTAAGTTAAAAAAATCTTTATTTTTCTATGAAATTTAACTTTTTAAATTAAATATTAAAAAATTTTATGTTATATTTATTTTTGTATTTGTTATGAATTTTATAAGTGAATAATGATAAAATAATGCTTTGGTTTATGTTTTGGAAAAAATATTGAAATAGGAAAAAAAAACCAAAAAACTTATCCTGGTATTCCAAAATTTCTACACAATTTTGGAAATATTTTTTAAAAAGAAAAATGAGAAATGGGAACAGAGTTATCAAACGCTTATATTCTTTAAAAATGGGAAACGAGAAAAAAAAAAGAAATAAAAACGCTACCAAATAGGTCGTTAGCATTACGGTTTCCAATTAATATCTCTTCCTTTCTTCTCACATGTCTTAGGAAATTGATTCTACATCCAAATGGAGATGATAAAGTGGAAGATCATATTTCTCTCTACTTGGCTATATCATCTAAAGGCAATCAGCTTCCTCTTGGCTGGGAAGTGAGGGTTATTTTCAGGTTTCTTATATTTGACCAAATCAGAGACAACTATTTAACAATCCAAGGTTCTAATTTCTATTTTTTTTTTTTATCAAATGATCCCGAGACGGACCCAAATTCAACAAAATAGTTATCAAACAGGAACTAAATTTAAGACTCTAAACCGTTAACTATATATAAGGGTTTTTTCTGCTCGCAGATGGCAAAGTGAGGAAGTATTCTAAAATGAAGAATGAACATGGGATCACCCACTTGCTTTCTCATAATGCTTTGAATGAAGCCTCCAATGGGTTTGTTGTTGATGATAGCTGCACATTTGGAGTTGAACTTTCTGTGCTTAAAGTCTCAAACAAAGGAGAGAGTTTAAGCATTATAAAAGAGCCTCAACTTGACCATTTTATTTGGTATATCTATCCATTTTCTTCTTATACTGGTGAATCCTACACCTCCCAACCATTCACTGTCAAGGGAAGAAAATGGTTAGTAACAAAACTCTTATGCAAAAAAAAACACGTTATCAAACGGGGTTTATTAATTCTTGTTTGGGAAATTGTAGTGGGTGGCAAAATCTTTTTATATACTTCAAAATATGTCACCTGTTTTTTTAATTTTCAAATATAGCAAAAAATTTCATTTATACTAGTATATCACACACTCATATCAATAGTATATCGACAGCATATTAGATGTATATCGCACAAACACTCATATCAATAGTATATCAAATATATATTACATAAATATTGCAAATATATCAGACACTCATATCAGTAATATATCAGATGTATATCACATACATATATATATTACAGATGCATATCATTTGGATAAAGTTATCATTTTAAAATTGACCTCTGTTCTTTTTTCCTTTTTTTAAAATAAAAAATGCTATATTTGAAAAAACTAAATGTTAGTTGTCATTTTGTTAATTTTACAAAATGTTTTTGACATATTTACAACTGTGTACACTTGTTTTGGCTTAATGAATTATTACTTCAGGAGGATGAGGATGTATCCAAATGGATCCTCTGTGGGAAAGGCCACAAATCTCTCAATTTACTTGAAGTTGGATGAATCAGAGAACATTCCAATAGGGAAGAAAATCTATGCCAAATACTTTTTGGGTATCTATAACTTTGGAACTAAAAAATATTTTGAAAAATCAGGTAAGACTCTGTTAATTTAAATTATCTTAGTTTCAAAGATCTTTTTTTTCCATTTTTTTTTTTTTTTGAAATTTTATGTGGGAATTATTGTATTTTGCAGATGACCATTGGTTTACTTCCTCAACATATGGCAGTGGCTTTCCTGAATTCTTGGCTCTCAAAGACCTCAAAGACTCATCAAAGTCCTATGTGCAAACTGATGGTTTGTTTCTCAAAGCTAGAATTGTTGCCATGTCGACCGTAGAAGAATTTTAAAAGTCAATCCCGACATATCAAATCGTTGGGTTAATATTAGAATATGATAATATGTAACAAGAATGTAAATATAACACCATATAAAATATATATGTCTGTTTAAAATATTATTGAATTATTTCTCTACCTTGTATCGAGATAGCACATACATTGCATTGGAAAAAATTTAGAGAATTACAGCATTTGAATTAATTGTATCACAAGATTTCTTAAAACTAAATTAGCAAGATGGTTGATATTGAAGTCTTTAATGTGGGCCTTGTTGGGCTGAGGAGATCAGTTATCCAAGGGCGGCCCAATAGCTCAAATTTTCACATGGGCCCTCCCAACATTTCCTTCTGACCAAAAATCTCTCAAACTTTGATTCCAATTCCACTATATATGGATGAGAAGATTAAAAATCCCCTTTTAAATGACTGTCTCTTTCTTTTTCGTTATTTTTCATGTTTTAATAATTTATAAATATGACATTTTTTTATTGTGATTTAAAACAATGGCAAACAATTAAGACAACCTTAGTAAATACATCAGCAACTTGCCTCTAACGATAAATTAACAAAGAAAAGATCAAAAAGTATTAAAAATCTTATCTCCTGCCTGTAAAATGAGACTCGAACTCTCTTTTAGGTTTCTTTCGAAATGCTATATATTAGAACACTAGATCAATAGTCTCAGTGTTTTTGAAAGGTCAAGAAATAGTTAGACGATTTTTCATTTTCTAACGAATTATTTATTTAAATTATGTGCTTAGAATATGTTCGAGAGAGATTTTTTAGCAAGTATTTTTAGTAAAAATAATCTAATCAAAAGTGATTTTTTCATATATCCTAAAGAATGCATTTTAAAAGAGACTATCGGGCTAATTAAGCATATTGCTTGCCTTTTTTTTCCCTAAAAAACCAAATATGGGTGAGCAAATTCATGGATTGCTAAAGAAATATAACCGCGAGAGTTCAATAATAAATGCTTTATTACCAAAAGTTAATTGATATAAAGAAGCATCCTCCTTAAAAATGACATCACTATATAAAATAAGATACCAAAGAATTTAATCTTAATTAAGAATCGGTTAAGTAGATGTTAATTAAATCTATCCAAATCTATTAGCTTAAGTTTATAAATGATTAAATTTATCCAAATCTATTAAGTTTATGGGTGGATTAGTCATCAAATTGATACATATACATATACATATTAATTTTCATAATTTTCAAATGTATACGTTAAAAGTACTCGTAGGTATCGAGTAGGTATCGAGTATGTGTGGCTCATTTCTAATAATTTCACTCATAAAAAATCTCTCAGTTTCATTTTATCAATAATATGTAGTAAAATTTTAATTTGTTGGGAGAGTTTGAACTAGTATTTTTAAGTAATATGAAAACGATCTTTAAAAAACACTCATTCAAATCGTCGAATCTTATCCTCATCACCATTAAAAAAATTGACAAAAGAAAAGTATTTGTTTTCTTATTTCTTTCTTAGTTGTCAAACAYGAACTAAGGATGATGAGAAGAAGATTATAGTTAAGTATTCTTCTTTCTTTAATCATATTTAAGAGGTTACCATATTGGAACCTCCATATTATCATTTACTTCCAATTTATTATTAATTTTTACTAAATTTATTAACCAATATCCATCCTTCACCCCTACTAAAGTTTGAAAACAATCTATATATTTTTTTTATTGGAGGAAAAAAAAGTAAGTTTGACTTCCTAATAATTTACACCCGACATAAGTGCTCTTGATCTTCATAATATCCATTACTTCATAGTCAGAGAGTAATAAATTAGGAATTTGTGAGTCTGTCTTTTAGTAAAAAGAGAGTAATATAATAAGCCTATAAATAAAATTTTGTAAATTAAACCATTGACAAAAGATCGTCAAAATATATCCTCCTTTACTTTATAATAACAGAATATCAATAATAATTCATGATCAACATGAACAAACTCATATATATCCTTATTAAACAATATAGCAATATCCTGACAAATAATCCAACGCCAATAATAACATTAAAATTAATCATTAAAAACAAGACTAGATACTCCCGAATTTTCCACACCCAATAATCCAAAGAGAGGATATATTTTGACGTGTCCCCAAACAAGGCACTTGGTCTACATGCAAACCATGCATAAGAACCTCCTCGACACGTGCCAATGTGCTCCTTAACACGTGCTACTTCGCCACCCTCGTATTTCTCTCTATATTAAACCCTCCTCCCTTTTCTTCACCTCTCCACAAAGAGAATAAAATTTCCTCTTTTTTTTCTTTTTCTCAGATTAATTTTCAAAACTTGTATCCATCTTTTTTTTTGTTGCTCCGATGGCCGAGCACCAGCAGTACCCGGC